CAAAGGAGCGGGCGATCGTACTTCTCGGCCATTCATTCATGCCTTCAAAATCAATTAAGTATATCAATTGCCCTTGCCTCTTGAAAACGACGAGAAGTATCAATCATCTCGCCCTCGACTCTGCAAAAGAGCGGGCGATCATACATCTCGTTCATTCATTCATGCCTTCAAAGGAGCCTCCATCTCGTTCATCCAATTTTAGTATCTCCAATCGTTTGTACGAGTTATCATCGCCTTTGCCTCTGAAAAAGGAATCGTCCAGAGATAACCCCCTCCCCCCCCCTTCCCCCGCGGGTTTCGCTTCTCCTGTCTCCGAGAAAGGAGCCTCCAAGATGAAGGCCTGGGCATTCGATCGTAAAAATTTCCCCACGTTATGCAGCAGATTGGCTGGAAAGCCGGCGCAGCCTTGTATTCGAATAGAACGCATGTGCGTTGTATTCGAATATACCAGCCATTCGAAGAGAACGCACGTGCCGTTGTATTGGAAAAAGCAACCTATGCGTCGAATCCGTTTACAACACGTATGCGTTATGTTCTGGGGACGACGGCAGCCCTCTGTCGCATGAATCGCCGTGACGGCCTTGCAAGAAAACTCACACATCTACTAGACGCCAGCACCTTGGGGACCCAGAAGCTGGTGGCACAGAAGATGACCGCGTACCCTACACAAAGAGGGAAAGGAGAGGTGTGAGAGCGGGAACAGCGGGGCGTAGGGAATTTGCTTTGCTCACCAGTTCACACGCCTGAGACTGCGCCTTCGTTGCAAAGCGGCCTGCCTGACTCACTACGGACCCAGGCCAACATCGAAAACCCCTTTCGATGTGATCCCCGGCCTCGATTCGAGATTGTTGGCTTCTAATGTAATACGGAATGTTTGATTAAAAAAAAAAAAAAAAAAAAAAAAAACTTTCGAAGTGGGGCCTGGTGAATTAGGGGGGATAGGAGTAGGTTTAGTGTACTAGGAGGGGGGGGGGGGGGGGGGGGGGGGGTAGGATAGAATAGGCAAGGCTTTTCGGGTTACTGGGGCTTAACTGTCAGTTGAGTAGGGAATGGAAACAGTGCAGAGAAGTACTGGGGCTTGGCTGTCAGTTGAGTAGGGAGTGGAAACAGAGTGCAGAAAAGTAAACTAGAATGAGAATGCTAAAGCGAAACTGGCATGACGTTGTTCAGTTTATTTTTCTGCATGACATATTTTTTGTTCGGATTTTTTGGATTTTTTTTTTTTTTTGCTGGGGCCTTCCCTTGTCATTGCACGGCCGGGCCGCCCGGGAAAACACAAGGTCACCCGGGCCGCCCGGCATAACATGTGGTTAAAAAAAAAAAAAAAAAAAAAAAAAAAGAAGCTTTACCGCGTAAACAGCGGCTAGAACCCGTTTCTGTTTCGGCTGCACTGGTCCCATTAGCAAAGTGGATTGGATTTAATTCCTGAATCTGGATGTGTTTTGTGCAGACATGCAGAAAAGCAGATCAATAGCAATTTTTCTGCATTTTTCCACAAACAACTCCAGATTCGGGAATTAAATCCAATCCCCTTTGTTAATGGGACCAGAGCCCAGGTGCACTGGCGGTTTAATTAAGAGAGAGGAGAGGGGAAAAAAAGAGGAAGCGGGAGGCGGGAAAAGGAAAACGGAATGTCTTTGTTAAACCCAAAGACTGCAACTGGTTAAGTATACATTATTCCGCGAGTGATGAGTTAACCCGGCCGGCGTACCCATATGCCGGAAAAATCCGTGTGACTGTCTGACGAAAAAAAAAAAAAAAAAAAAAAGGAAAACGGAAGGAGAAGGATATAGTTGAAACTGTAGGCTGACCCCTCCTCACAGAAATTGGACTTATTATTTGTAAGGGCCTCCAAAAGGTACCAGTCCTAGACCAAAGAAGGGAGCTGAAGAGCTGAAAAGGAGAGAGGTAAGGTCCGGTCGAGTGGATACGCGATTTGTACGACTGGTTTGTAAAGATACAGAGCATCATTAAGTAATGCTTTTTTTTTATATGATCATTTGTGAAATATACATTCTTAAATTTTGTTAAATGTTCTCATCCAAATTGAAAGGGAAAAAAAAAAAAAAAGAAGAAGTTAGATGTTCTCATCCAAATACACACGGAAGATGACTGGGAGGACGGACCAGAGGGAATTCCGAGCAGGAGGACAGGGAGGGAGGTAAGGGGAAGAGAGAACGGAAGGAAGGTAGCCGATTCTCAGCAACTGTATCCATAGAACAAGGAAATATAAAACAGAGAACAAAGAGGTCTGGAAAAGGATTTGAGAAGCAGAGAAGAGAAGGATAAGGGAAAAAGGCAGGGAGGGAGAAAGGGAGGAGGGGGGGGGGAAGCGGGAGAGCGGGAAAGCGGGAGGGAGAAAGGCAGAGGCGGAGGAAGAGAGAGAGAGAGAGAGAGAGAGAGAGAGAGAGAGAGAAGGGAGGGGCATACGATTTGAAGCAGGGAGGGAAGAAGGCAAGGGCAAGAAGTGAAGATAGTCGGTTGTCTGACTGTCGATCGATGATGAAAATAAGAAACAGGAGGAGGTAAGAAGAACAGAAAGAAAGCAAAGAACAGAAGGAGAGGAGGAGAAAAGGAGGGAGGGAAGGAGGGAGGGAGGGAGGGAGGGAGGGGAGAAGAGAAGGAGAGAGAGACAGAGGATTAAGTAAAGGATAAGGCAGGCAGGAATGCCATTTACGAGGGAGGGATGACATTTAAGGGAAAGGCGAGAAAGAGGGCACGACATTTACCCGATAAACGCATTGCACAAGAACGCCGTCATGGTCAGCCATCCTGTGAGTGATTTGCTAGTCAGCGCAGTATAGTCGAAGAAATACCGCAGAGTGAAAGTCGGAACGCGCGTTCCAACGAGGACCCAGAGCACCAGTCCAAGGCTTAGGTAATAAAGACACTGGATGCACGTAATTTGCGCCAAAATGAGCCAGGGGTCCCATACAATGGCCCCATAGAACATTGCGTTGACACGTGAAAGCCACGCAGCTCTGGCGGCCGGTCTGGCTCCGCTCCCTGGGCGGTATCCTCGCTTACGTGCCTTCCGGTCCGTCGTGCCGTCCTTCTTCCCGAGACTGTTGCCGAGCCTCTTCGGCGCGCTTCGAGACCAGATCTGCGGTGCTGTTTCTCTCCGGCCAGTGATTGGACTCGAACGAGTGAGCACCTCAGCAACCTCAACCACACCACCCCAAGAAGAAGAGGAAAAAAACGGTGAGCCAGACGGGAAAGAGGAGGGCAGAAGAGAGAGAGAGGGCGCAAGGGAGGAGGAGATCGAACACCCGACCACGCCTTCAAGCTCCGTGTGAGTAATCGCCGTAGTAGCCCTCGGGTCGGCAGCGAGAGCGAAGGCGAAGTCGATCCCACGTGGGGTGGATGCCCACGTGAAGCTCCGTTTCGTCGAAGCCAGTCACAAATCAGCAGCAGTAGTTCCTCGTCCCACCGCAGCCGCCGCTTCAATAACGAACGGCTCCAGCTGCTGCTATTGGGCCCGATGGCAGCAGCTGCTGCTGCTATTGGGCCCGACGGAACCCCCTTTAAGGGGGGGGGAACAAGGTCAAGGCTGCAACCGCGCAGGAGCTTCAATAAGGCAGGGCAATCGCGGCGTAGGGAGGAAGAAGTAGGAGAAGGAGGAGGAGGAGGAGGAGGAGCACGAGGAGACGACGGTCGAGAAGGGGAATAATGGAGTAATGAGGCGGCGGCGAAACGACGTCGCAGCTCCTCCTCTTCCGCCCGGCCTGAGAACTCAGCACCCTTCCTTCCTCCTCCTTGCTTCTCCCCTTTACCTATACTACTCTCTGCTCGGGTACTCGTTTCCGTTGGTGCAGAAACTTGTTGGATTCGATCCCCCAACGTCGCCGATACCGCTGCTGCTGCCTGTTTCTCCTCTCTAGTACTCTCTGCTCCGATATTCGTTTCCGTTGGTGCAGAAACTTGATGGATTCGATCCCCCGACCTCGCCGATACCGCCGATTGCCTTCTGGCGGCTTCTGCTACTGACCCTACCACCTCCCTGCTCCTCCACCACTCATCCCCGGCGACGGCTGCGGCTTCTGAGGCTGCTGTTAATGATCGCCTCTCCCAAAGAAACTCATCCCCGGCTACGGCTGCCGCTTCTGAGGCTGCTGCTGTTAAGGCGGCATGAACGTGTGTTCTCCGGTTAATGATCGCCTCTCCCAAAAATACCCTTCCAGTTGCTACCGGTCGCTCTAAACTCCCATCTGTTTTCCCCTTCTCCCTCCCCTCCGAGACTCTTGTCCTCTTCTCCCTCCCCTCTGTAAGCTTTGTCGTCTTCTCCTTTGCCACGTCGGCGCTAAGGTCACCCCAGGATCGCTTCCTATCAGCCTGCCCAGAAACACGTGACGTACTGCCGCTACTGTGCCACGACAAAAAAATCGTTTGCTTGCTGCTGCTGATTACCCTCCTTCTCCCACATTGGATGTCCCCCAGCTTCTCCTCACCTTGCCTCCCTCTCCCTTTTCCTCCTCCCTCTCCTTCTGCGACTTCCTCCTCTTCCTCCCCGCCGACTCCTCCGACTGCCAACCTGGCGCCGCCGATTTCAATCACTGCAACTATATTTATATTAATTAACGATAAAAATTGACCGAGAACGGTCGTCCGAAGAACGGCGGGCCGGAGGAGCCCTCGCATTCTCACACGCCGCCAATCTCCAAGACAATGGCCATTGAGGGAGATATAACGACGACGTCAACAACCCTTATGCTCAGCATCACGTGCAGTAGTAACACGATGATCGCCCCCTCTTTGTCCTACTTCTCCCCGATACCGCCGCTTGGTTCTCCACTTTGATACTCTCTGCGAGAGCAATCGTTTCCGTTGGTGCAGACTCTTGGATTCGATCCCCCAACATCATCCCAGTAAACGTTTTGTCTTTATAAGGCCTTCAAGGAGGAAAAGAAAAACGAAGATCGAGCGCTCGATATGCCGGAATAACGTCACATGAAAAATCGCTTAACGGAGCTCTTTGAAAAACATGAACTCCGATCGACATCAGTCAATCAATCAATCAATCAATCAATCAATCAATCAATCAATCAATCAATCAACCGATCAATCAATCAATCTCCAGAATCAATCCAATCAACCAAACAACCAATCATTAAAATCAATCAAATCAACCACTCAAGCAATTGGCTCAACAGAACCAGATGGACGACTAATTGGTCCAATTACAACCTGCTCATCGTGCTTACGATAGTAACATTGACCTTATTATAGTATGAGAGATCCTTTCTTCGTAGTTGCTGATCGCTTTTTGCACTACCGCCCGCTCCTCTCTCTCTCTCTCTCTCTCTCTCTCTCTCTCTCTCTCTCTCTCTCTCTCTCTCTCTCACGTCTTTTCCTTCCTTAGAAAATCCCCCACGCTGTTGGTTTGCCAGTTGATCGAACAAGAACGATTAAAGGCAAAAGACGGAATGAAAGCCGAGCTGACCTGATCCAATCCGAAACCGTACGTTGGGATAGGAGGCCGCAGATGCGGAGAGAGAGGCCGGCGTCTCAGCCAAAATAATGTCACCATTTGAAAATAGCAAACGGAAATCAATTTGAAAAATGTTTTGCAAATGCGAGTATCGTACCCACTCCGTGCGCTTGGGAAGAATACATCACCAGCTTTGGACGGCGGGAAAGGTCACGTAAGGCGACACGGCGAACGCGGGGGACCGGGGGGACGGGGGGACGGGGGGGACGGGGGCAGTGGGCGAGACGCGAATTTCCGAACGTCCGTCGTCGGTTCCAAGGAACGGAGCGTTGAGGGCGCGCCCATCCTTGGACACAGACTGCCGTATTCTTTTCCCGCGAAATTGGTTTGCAATATTCTCTTTCGCAAGAGCCCGGCCGAGACCCAGAGACAGCGAGAGAGAGAGAGAGAGAGAGAGAGACAGGCAGGGACTACCTCAACGGCCAGACCGACAGCCTGGTTCTCGAGGGTTTATCTGATCCGTCTGGAGGCGGGACTAACTGGAGCAGGAAAAGCAGCCGGGCCGAGAGAGAAAGAGTCTGGACGGGAAAAAAAAAAAAAAAAAAAAAAAAAATCGGGACGTGGACGTACATCAGCCTCGGACCCCGTTCACGCACGGATTCGAACCGTGACCTTAGGCTCAAGAACCGAATTCCGTAACCACTAAAGGCATGGCACAATCTACATGTACAAATGTGGATCCATGCCGGTACGGTATCCACCCACCCGTGCATGGCTGTCGTGCCCTTCAACTCGCAACACCTCACTCCAGGCATTCGCCACATAGTCAGGTCTCGCTCACTCTGCTCCCATCCAGCACGACTGCTTTTCCAAAGGGGCTTTGCCCACAGGCCACCCTAATCCTGGTCTGATGTGATTTTACCCACAGGCCACCCTAATCCTGGTCTGATGTCCAGGATGGTTACCAGGGAAGAGGACAGTCTGTACTTCGATTGGCCTCGGACACCCTCCGGATGCGAGGCTGCAACCACCAGTACCTTGCCCAGCTATCAAGTCTGAGGCCCGGGCAACCGGTAGCCCGATCATTGCCAAGCCTCGAACTTTATTGCAGAGCCTCGATGTACTGGTAGTACATCTTCCGGGGGGGGGGGAAGGAAGGGGGGAAAAAAAAAAAAAAAAAAAAAAAAAAAGATAAAAAAAAAAAAAAAAAAAAAAAAAGGAAATCAGACATGCCCAATGAGAATGAATCTTCCACGACAAAGTAAAAGATTCATTCTCATTCGAACTATGAATGTGTGTGTGTGTGAGAGAGAGAGAGAGAGGGCATCCACCGTGCCAAGTTTGGTGCGCCAAACTCAGCGTCACTGTGCATCCCCACCACCACTCACAAAATGTGCAAAATGCGAATGAACTTCCCGCTATAACACGGGCAGATGCACCAAAAAATATTTGTCTTTTTTTTGCATTTCGAGAGAGGTGTGGCG